CTTGCTATTTTGATCTCTTGGCACCACGTCTCTGTTTTTTATCACATATAACTTTATCTTGTGCATCTTTTATCTCATGCTGTTACACCAACTGGATGGTAAACCACTTTGCCCCTTGTTCACATTTCTCCAGGGAACACATCAGCTTCATGGATGAACCTCCCTGTAATTCTGCTCCCGAGGCTTTTCTTAACATGCCTCCCACACTCCTCTGAATTCACCAAAGGCCAAGGTATTCCAATCCACCTGAGGTCCCCATTCACCCCATGTGCTTCCATGTTTGCCTCTGCACACCCCATTTTACCTACCTGGAATGTGTCAGCTTATTGATATCCTGCCATGCTCCCCAGGTGCCACCACCTTCAGCGTGTCCTGTGAGCTGGAACACTTTGTCTTTACCCAGTGGCTGTCAATGTATGGAAATGAGCAAGGCAGGCATGGTATGGGAAAGGCCAGCCGATTACACAGGTGACCACAATGTTCATTTACCTATGTAAGTTTACATGACTCAGGGCTTGACTTTCAGCCGGAAAGCCTGGGCACCTGGCTTAACATATTGAGAGTAGATCCATCTGACAAAGGTGGCACCTTACCACACCCACAGTGCTCCTAAACAAAGCGAGTGTGCCTGTGCACTGACTGTTACTGAGCTAGACAACAGCACTGGTGCTGCAGTGACCTGACCTGGACATCCTCCCCTGCCCTCCTATTTACATGCCACACAGAAAGCCAGTCCTCCTATTGTAGATTTGCAGCTAGTCCATCCTTTTTTTTTTTTTTTATCCTTTTAGCATCTTTTTTTATTTTATCATTTTTACATTTACTTACATGTGTATACATTGTTCCCCCCCACCAACCCCCCACACTTCTGGGCAGAACCTGTTCTGCCCTCTTGTTCTCCAATTCTGTTGAAGAGAAAACATAAGCGATAATAAGAAAGACATAGTGTTTTTTGCTAGTTTGAGATAAAAATAGCTATACAGAGAGATTCCTAGTGTTGCTTCCATGCACAAGTGTATTACAACCCACATTAGTTCATCTCTACTACTTCCTGGTCCCCTTCCCATAGTGGCCTCTGCCATTAAGATTACTTTATTCGCTCCTCTGCAGTGAGCACATCAACCACATTCAAGTTTCAGGCTGCCTTCCCTTTCCCTATTCCTCCCGTGTGCATTCTCCCCTTAGTGTGGACCCATGTCCAGTAAAATATTAATGCATTTGTTTTACGTCTGTAGTCCACATGTAAGAGAGAACATGTGATTTTGGCTTTCTGAGCCTGGCTAACTTTGCTTAAGATGATGTTCTTCAGTTCCATACATTTACTTGCGAATGACAAAATTTCATTATTCTTTGTAGCTGAGCAAAATTCCATTGTGTATAGATACCACATTTTCTTAATCCATTCATCAGTTGTGGGGCATCTTGGCTGTTTCCATAGCTTGGCTGTTGTGACTAGTGCTACAGTAAACATGGGTGTGCAGGTGCCTTTGGAATAACCTGAGTCACATTCCTTTGGGTATATCCCTAGGAGTAGTATTGCTAGATCATATGGCAGATCTACTTTTGTTGTTTTGAGGAGCCTCCCTATTTTCCATGGTGGTTGTACTAGCTTACATTCCCATCAGCAGTGTATGAGGGTTCCATTTTCCCCCCATCCTCGCTAACATTTGTTGTTGGTGGTGTTTTTGATGATAGTTACTCTAACAGGAGTGAAGTGGAATCTTAGTGTGGTTTTGATTTGCATTTCCTTCATGGCCAGGGATGGTGAGCATTTTTTCATGTGTTTTGGCCATTTGCATTTCTTTCTTTGAAAAAAGTTCTGTTTAGTTCAGTTCTCTTCTTTATTGGTTCATTGATTTTGGGGGAGTTTAGTTTTTTGAGCTCCCTGTATAGTCTGGTTATCAGTCCTTTGTCTCATGTATGCAGCTAATCCATTCTTTAATTTTATTCATCTAATCTTTTGGACGGGGGGACACTGCTGGGTTTGAACTCAGAGCCTTGTGCTTGCTAGGCAAGTGCTATGGTACTTTAAGTCATGCCCATAGCTCCTTTGTTCTTTTTTCTTTTTGTGGTGCTGGGGTTTGAACTCAGGGCCTCATATTTGCTAGGTAGACACTGTACCTCTTGAGCCATTCCACCAGCCATTTTTTGTGTTAGGTATTTTCTAGATAGGGTCTCACAGACTGTTTGCCTGGACTGGTTTTGTCCCGTGATCCTCCTGATCTCTGTCTCCTGAGAAGCTAAGATTATAGACATGGCTTACAAGATTTTCTTTTGATGGTATTGAGGTTTGAACTCAGGGCCTCATGCTTGCAAGGCAGGTGCTCTATCACTTGAGCCACTCCGCCAGCCCCCCTTTTTTCTTTACTTACTTTTAAGATCAGGTCTCAAGTTTGTGCCCAGACCTTGCCTTGGATCTTTATCCCCCTACTTCTTCCTCCCCACATAGCTGGAATTGCAGGTATGTGCCGTAACAACTGGCTTGGTTTTTGAGGCAGGAACTCACTAACTCTTTTGCCTGGTCTGGCCTCAAACTGTGATCCTCTCATCTCTGCCTCCTACATATTCATTAATCTTCATATTTCCAAAACTTAAATAGTCCTGTCACTCAGCTCTTCTTTTTTATTAGTGTGTGTTAATTGTACAAAGTAATGAGTTCTGTTATGACATTTCCTTGCATGTATTTACTGTACTTTAATCATATTCCTCCCCATTACCCTTTCTAACCTCCTAATTCCCCCTTTTCCCCTTCAACTTCCTGATAGTTCCCCTTTTACTCTCATGTCCCTTCCCCACCCAAATTACATGCGAGAGAAGCACATGTCTTTGTGAGAAAACACTAGTCTTTGTGAGAAATGATATAATTTCATTTTTCCTTATGGTTAAATAATACTGTGAGTAATATATATGACATTTTCTTCTCCCATTTATCCATTAATGCTCACCGAACTGAGTCTATACCTTGGCTGTTGTGAATGGTGCCCTGTAAACATGAGTATGCAAGTATCCCTATAACAATCTGACTTGATTCTTTTGGCATTTATCCAGAAGTATATGCCTAAATACGGCTGGGTGATCTGGTATTTCTAGTTGTAATTTTTTGAGGAACCTCCATACTGATTTCCATGTTCGCTGCATTAATTTATATCACAGTGTAAGGGTTCGTTTTCCCTGCATCCTCCCCAGTATTTGCTGTTATTCTTTTGATGATGGCCATTCTGACTGGGGTGAGAGTACTGTCATGTCATTTTGATTTGCATTTCCTTCATGGTTAAGGATGTTGAAATTTCTTCATGTGTTTTTTTGGCAACCAATCTATTGTATTTCATAATGGCTAATGAAATGAGTCATGTGTGGATTTTTACTAGTTCACGTGTTAGAGAATAAATTTCATTTCCAAATTCTTGGGGAGAGATGCACATGCTTTCCTGTTACTTCTATTGCTGATTAAACTGGCACGTAGTAAGTCTCAAGTAAAACCCTTGCTGTAACATGGCCTGGCAGCTACTGAATAGATAAATGAATGTAGACCATGGCACTCAATGTGAGATTGCTTTCACCAAAAGCATAATTGCGGAAAGTAGTCTGCAGACATATTGTACATGGCCTTCTTGTTGGAGAACCATCACCTTTCACCATCTTGGACATTCCTGACTCTTTCTTTCTATTCTCCTTAGCTGTCATGTTAGGATCTGCCTTGTGTGTCAGAACCTAAAACTAGCACATTGTGACAACTCTGTCCACTGCTTTGTCTGCCTCTGTTCTCATGCTCTGCCACTGCCACTGCCACTGCTACCACCCCCCTCCCCCATTGTTCCATTCCTCCTGCTTTCTGAACCAGGACATGCCATTGGCTCAGCTGTAAGGTAAGTCTCTGGTGCTGTGGTCATGCTTGCCTGGTTCTGCCTGCCACACCCCCAGCCAGGGTACCCCAGCCTGGTTAGAATGGCCAGTGCTACATAAAGTAAAAACATCAGGATCCCTTGTTCATATGATGTTAAAATAAATCTGTTCAGAGGAGAAGAACTGGCCTTTCATAACAAAGTGCTAAGCAGGCCTTATTCCTGTGCCTGATGGACAAAGTTAGATTCTTTTTCCTTTTTCTTTTTCCTGGTTCCCTTTACATTCCTGCCTTGACATGCAGATTGTGGCCACATAATCCCCAAATTCACCACCCCCAAGGTTCTTTAACTTCATAACAACAACAACAAAAAAATGCTTTCTGCTCATTTACTAACATTAGAAAATCCTCATTCCAACATCCATGTTAGTGTGAAAGTTTCACTATCTCGAACAGTTAGGAAACTGCCTTCCATGTGATAACTGTACCTTTACACAAAGTTGTCAGGTCTAGGGATTTTTCTACCACGTTGTGTCTTTTTCTCTCTCCTCATTCCACTCTAAGTAGAGTTTTTCAACTAAATTCATTGTGGTTCTTATCAGTAGCTCCAGTGGGTCCTTTAGAAAGCTTACCTTAGCCAAAATAGTAATAGTAACTGCCTGAATTTTAAGCACTTACTGTGTGTGTGTGTCATGTCCTTAAATATAAACTCAGACAGTGCTGTTTTACAGGTGAAGTGCTGAGGTTTGTTAACTTACCCAGTCCCAATTCTGGAAAAGAGCAGAATTTAAAACCAGCCCTGTGCATGTCCTCCTCCTGCTCTCTCCTCTGCAAGTCTTTCACCTCTGGGTGACTTGGCTGTGTTTTCAAAGGTTTATCCATAATCTCCTCTACCATAGCCAGGCACAATTAATTTTATCCTCATTACATTTTTCCTTTCCAACTGTCATTTTCCACCTATGGGAGAAAAAAGTATTTCAGGACATTAAATGTGTCCTTTTTCAGTATGTGTGAGTCACATGATGTCACCTATGAAATAGACATCATGTGGCTTTAAAAACTATGCCCTCACCCAGTTGGAAATAGATCTTTGGATGTGGACAGTACTGTATTTTCAAGGTGCGGTTTGGCTGCCTGTTTACCTCATGTGCTTTTGCAGCTGAGGACAAGAATGAGGATGGTATTGAGAGGACGTGTGACACCTTGCTCATGTGCATCGTCACTGTGCTGAACCAGGGCCTCAGGAACGGCGGTGGCGTGGGGGACGTGCTGAGAAGGCCATCGAAAGATGTAAGCTGGAGGAAAATTATCTGTTCAAAAAGTGCATATTATTGTGCACCCTTTCTTAACAGTGTTTGTAAGATGGTTTTGGGTTCCCAGTAATGTGTTTCATTGTTTGCTCTACAAGTGTAATGGTGGCTGTTAAGACCGATGAATTGTGAACAGGTATCACATAGAAATAACAAATGTGCTGACCTTCTGTGTTCCTGATTCTGAGCTGTGTGTGGCATAACAGTGACAACGTCCTAGCAGCAGACTTCATAAAGCAGTCATTTCCACATTAACACACGAGTCTGCTCTTGTCATCCGGCTCCTTGGGAATAAAGATTTGCTCTTTGCTTCTGCATAACAATAACCTGCATTATTTGTCTGTGATGACTATACACTTTGGACAAATTCTAGCAGGACTTCATCTATTAAGATGGCAAGGCAGAAGTTTTTCCTCAATCATTATAAAATCTCAAGGGCCAGGCTCAGAGTTTATAGTCTTAATTCTGCAACCAGCCAATTGCATGATGTCATTAAGTCATTTGCTCAGGTCATAAGCTCAAGTCTCTCATCTATTAAACAACTGGACTACATGATCTCTGCTATGTATTTTAATATTATCCATCAGGTAAAAATAAGTGTACTTGTAGATACTTGACTTCATAATGCCAAGGACAAAACCTACTCCAGTCATTAGGTCTTCCTTTGGAATTGGTATTTAACTACTTTTAGTGTGGGACCTGGGTAGGGCCCACTGTACCAAATGCATTTAGCAGCATGACATAATCAAGAGGTTTATAAAGAAAGGCAAGTGGGCTGGGTGTGTGGCTCAGGGGCAGAGCACCTGCCGAGCAAGTACAAGGCCCCAGGTTCAAACCCCAGTACTGCCAAAAAGAGAGAAAAAAGGAGAGAAAGAAAATACAGGCATAACAAAGAAAAGAAATCACTAAAGAATGTCTGGTTCTCCATCACAGAGAAATGGAAGGTGCTCTGAGGACAATTCGCAACATTTTTCTTACAGTACTTAGAATAAAGATAGCAAGTGGATTTCATTGTTCCAACTAGAAATACTATTTATATTCATTTGGCAAATGCTTATTGGATATATCCTTGAGGTAACACATGCCTTGAAAGTGTGTGTTATTATGTATTTTTTACACTTTTATTTCAGGAACCCTTGTTTGCTGCCCGGGTGGTTTATGACCTTCTTTTCTTTTTCATCGTTATCATCATCGTTCTTAACTTGATTTTTGGTGTTATCATTGATACCTTTGCTGATCTCAGAAGTGAAAAACAAAAAAAAGAAGAAATTCTTAAGACAACTTGTTTTATCTGTGGTGAGTGCCAAAACAGTAGATGAATACTGATTAGCAGAAAAAAGGTCGAGAATGGTTTTGTCATGCTTTGGGAAAAATAGCTCAAAATGAAGGACTGGTAAAATTCAGATTATGTAACCGCGCAATTCCAGTTGGAATTCTCTGCTTCCATAAATAGACAGAGGAGTTGCATCCCAAACTCTCCTGTCATTTTTTCTGCAATGTTTGTGAACCTCTGACTACAGAACATGATAGAAAGTGCCAGAAGGTTTCACCAACTGGCAGGCAGGTTTTTAATCACTATAACATATCGATCACACAACAGAGTAATTTTTGTTTTGTTCTGTTACATGATGAGTCCAAAGATGCTTTCTCCAGCAGCTTGAATTTCTACTCATTCATATCAGTTTTAATTCTGACTGGGCCTCTCTGCTTTAAAACACTCTCTCAATCCGCCCCAGCATCCCCTTCCCATGTCTGTCTGTCTCTCTCAGTTACTCTCTGTGTCTCTATCTCTCACACACACACACACACACACACACACACACACACACACACGTACACACCTACACACATACCATTCTCCTCCTCATCATCTCTCTGGCCCACCCAAGCTTCCCTTCATCACCATCATTCTCTTTGGCTCTTCTCTCTGTCCATTAGCCCTTTCTGGCTTCAGTTGTCTTTCTATCTGGTCTGCACCCTAGAATCCATCTCCCTCTTTGACCAATCACAAAAACTAGTTACACTCACCCTCCTTTTTCCCATGCTGACCTGCAGAATCTTTTGGTAAAGGTCACAAAACAAGCATGGGGCTTTCCTACAGCATTGTACTTTGTAACTTAAAATCAGGCCCACTCTCTCCCCTGTCTCATTCCTGTGTGGCTCTTCCAAACCTTTTCTTCATTCCTCCCACAGTCACAGGCATTCTAGGTGTTCCAGGAAATAATGTGCAATGATGAGCTACAGTGCAGAGAAATACGCATTTGTTCACTATGGAATATGGGAACACTAAAACCATTGCTCTCTCCTGTGTTAAGGAAAGATGGAGAAGTTCCCAAGGGACAGCAGGTACCAGGGGAGGGATACCACTTCAGGAGTGATGAGAAAGAGTTAGACAAGGTTCCTAGAAGAGAGGGTGATGGAGTCAATGGTCAGAGATGAAAGAGAACTAGACATGGAGGGGGTAGAAGCAGAATGGCCAGACAAGCAGGGCACGGAGAATAGCAGCACAGCACATGTCCTCATTCCCTCTGAGCAGCTACTGCTGCTGAGTGTAAAGTTCAGATCAAGGGGTCCATGAGGAGAGGCTGGCCAGGTCACAGTGGCCTTCAAGGTTAGACAGCTCAGGCTTTATCCTGTAGAGAATGGTGAGCCATTACAGTATTGCAAATAAAAGAGCGCAGGGTCTAGTTTTGTTTTAGAGCACTAATGCGGCTGTAGGAGGTCCTTCATCAGGGAACAGTCCTGGAGAACAGTCAGGGACTAGCCAGTTAGGAAGTTGTTGCAGCAGACCAAGTAAGGAAAAGGTAAGGTGAGCCTGATTTGGGATTGTCAGTGGTCAGAGTGTTAAAAATAGAAGGCAGAGTTGAGAAATACTTAAGATGACAGAATTCCTCAATCTTGATGGTTAGGGATGAGGATGAAAGATAGCTGGGGTGCCTGGGTGCTGATAATACCAACAGGTGATAAGTTAAGAATAGATAAAGAAAGACTTTTTAGTAGGAATATGCTGAATTTAACCTTGGGAATCAACTAGGCTCTATGTTCTGTACAGATAGTTGTCACCTGTGCTGGAGGATGCTAAGCACTGTCATTTGTGGAAAGGAAACGAGCTTCATAGTCAAATAGATGTAGGTCTATGACGACTCCATGTCCTAGCTCTATGATCTTGGCCAATATTACCATCTGGAGCTATTCCTCCCTCATCTGGAATGTGGGGAATATAATGCTATGTTTTGAGATTGTGTTCCTATAAGGATCTCGTATATAAAAATCCCTTGCATGATGCTGCATTGAGAGCCAGCTCTCAGTACAAGCTAGTTTCTCTTCTTTAAGAGGGACAAATCCATGTCATACATTTTTATGCCTCCTGGTATGTATTGAATCATTCACTGATACTTGTTTAATGAATGACTGTCCAACCAACAGCCCTAAATTAACATTGTCTCTATGAGGTTTATAAACTAAAAAGGAAGGTAAAGCAAGTTGACATATGCTTCAAACCAGAAACCTAGGTGCACTAATTACAGATGGTTCCAAACTTTGTCACATGCCAGGTTTCATTTTGTGGAGTACTCATGTCCACAGGGATCTAGGGTGACATTTAGAGAAGCACAGGAGGTGTTAGACCACCATAGTCTACAAGCTACTTTCTGGAAGCCTCACATTTACTCAAAAATCTGAAGAGCTATGTGGATGATTTAATCTGAGTTAACTTAAATAGTATTTGTAGCTGGGGGTGTAACTCAGTGGTAGAGTACTTGCCTAGCACTGCAAAAAATTAAATAAAAGTAAATAAATGGTATTGTTATATTTGAACAAATGTAATATCATAAAGTAAAGCAAATTTAATGTGCACATCTAAAATAAATTAGAAACTTTAAAAAAATGATGAATGGGTCCCAGACACTTCAGGCACTCATCTCTGACTTCAGTAACAAGGAAATATACATTCTCAGCTCTTCTGTTAGCAGAAGCATGTGAGTGAGAGCATTATGCCACACTTTGATTGTTCCTGGAACTTCTCACCTCCTGCAAGGGAAGATGCATGTCATGTTTTATTTGTAAGATTTCTTATGATATGGAACAAATCATTCTTAGCTACAACTTAATTTCAAGAAAGAGTTAAACATTTTTTTGGGAATTGTACTAGTGTTATAAAATAGCTTTGATTACTCTGAAATGTTTTAGGGAAGAGTTGGACAAGCTGTGACAGAAAGGAGGATGTAGGGGCAGACATCAAGGAGAGACTCTCCCCAGTGAAAGAGAACTGGCTCCAGGTTTGTTCCAAAGGACAGTCATAGTAAGACAGGAGGTGGATTCTGTGACAGGCAGTGACAGCAGTGGGGACTTTCCTAGCCTTGAAGGCAGTGGTTGGATGTTGGAGAGTCAAACATGACTCTAAATATGACAGCTCATGGTCCAGAAGGTAGCCTTGATAGGGTGAATGCTAGCACATGACAGAGAAGAGGCAAGACATAGAAAGAAGGTAATGGCTCAGACCACAGTGGCAGCCACAGAGATGGTGAGAGGTGCAGATTCGGGACGTGTTCTGAAGGGAGAGCCAACATGGAGTGGAATGGTGTGCGAGAGGCAGAGAGAATTGAGGAAGACTCCTAGGCTTTTGGCTTGAATAAGTGGACTAATGGAGTTGCCATGGAATGAGAAAAGGAGGGTGGTGAGTAGAGCAGGTTTGAGGAAGAGGATTGGAGTTTATCTGGGGGCATGCTGAGCTGATTATAGGTCAAATAAGATGAGGCATAGCCATTAGCCAGCTGAATTGTATGGTGTTTTGCATTAAAATATCCAATAATGTAGGTTAAAAAATAATCCTTTTATTGGGGGTGGACTTTTAAAATTTATTGTGCTTTTGTATCTTATTATTTAAAGGATCTTCTGTATGCCTGAATAGCCTTTTGAAAAATGCTGAGGAAAGAGAAGTAGCAGGGCCAGAATTCAGTTCCTGAGTTTCTTCTCCGGTGTCTGGTCGGCAAAGTTGCTCATTCCCAACATCCCTATTTCCTTGGCAATCATATTCATTTTTCCACAGATGTTTTTCTTTATGGCCATTCATTCCTTTCATCTACTCTTCAGCTCTGAGAGAAAAGAATCTTCCCACCCAGATACTCAGTGTCCTTTTGCAGCTTGAAAATGTACCTGAAATTCAAAGGACCATCCCTCCCTAAATGCCCTGAGCACAGGAGTCTAGTGGACTGGCATAGCATGTGAGACCCTCCCTCAGAGCCTAGATAATGTCTCCATCTCTGTCCATGTGTCCTTAGCTGATTCCACTGGCTCTGAAGAGATGGCTTTCAGCTGCCTTCTATCTTTCAACCCAGGTCCTGGACAAAAATGAATTCTTTTGTCTGTCCTGATTAGCAAGTATTCCTTTTCTTGCACAGTCATTTTGTCTCTTTTTCTTAGTCTTGTGGTCCAATTTAATTTGATGGTTTTAATTTAGCTATATTTAAAATTACCTGTAAATTTTACATCCATAATAGGACTACACATTTCCAAGAATCCATGGGGGAAAAATAAATGTGAGTTGGAAAGGAATCTATAAACTATGGCCTTTTTATCTAGAGGTTGTGTGTGCCATGTTGTTTTTAATCACAGCATTTTAAATTGGTACACTTTTACAGAAAGTGTCTTTCACAATGACAATTATGTTTTCTTATGCTGAGAAGTAAGTGCTGGTTAGATGACAAATTACAGATATTATGTTTCCTGTGTTTTGCAGGACTTGAGAGGGACAAGTTTGATAATAAAACGGTTTCCTTTGAGGAGCATATAAAATCAGAACACAATATGTGGCATTATCTATACTTCATTGTCCTTGTGAAAGTTAAAGACCCGACAGAATACACCGGACCTGAGAGTTACGTGGCTCAAATGATGGTGGTGAGTGATGAGAGGGTTTTAATTTGTGACCGTATGCATTTGTGTTCTCTTCTCTTCCCTGTACTTCTCCCAGGTTATAAAAGGTTCTAGCAGTGGTTTTCTGTTAACTTTGAAATAGGCCTACCAGTCATTGAAGAGCCTCTAATATTGCTAAATCACTGGTTGCCACAGATTTCTTGATTATTCAACCAACTCTAAGCCTCAAGTGCACAGATAATCTACTGAGGGACTCTGTGCAATGAATAGCCCCTTTGTGGTGTCTGTCAGCTGTGACCCCAGACCTCCAATCATTGCAAACCTCCCAGTTCCCAAAATCTGGAACTTTCCCATTATCAAATAAAAACAGAACATTCACAGTCAAATTCCTTGAATTTCAAAAAGCAGGAGCTGAAGACATTAAATTATGTGTGGGAAGAGTGTGGCATTCGGCCCTAATGAGAGAGCCCTGGTGATAGAGTTGCACAGATCCTGCCACACTGAGGTACAATTAGCTCCTCACTAAGATAAGCATGGAGGACACCATTGTCCATGACTGAGGGTTTCCCCTGTCCCATGGAAAATCAAAACTGTGACTAGTGTATACAGATTCACATTTCATAAGTAGAACCACATCTGTATCACTTCTTACATTCTTATAAACAGGGCTACATATTGGGTTTTTTTCCCTAAAAAATCATCTAACAAAACTGTTCATCTTAAGGTCCTCCTTACTGCTTGGTCCTCAGGTTAAGCATTTATTCAACACCACTGTCAAGGCGAGAGGAGAACAACTTGCTGGCAGTGGTTCTAGGTCTTTCCTTGTGGGAGCTCGTCATCTACTTAAGAAAACACAGACCCAATATTGGGAGCAACCAAGGAATACTTTGGGGTGGTAACATATTAGTGAGTGCAGTTAATACAGTTATACTTCACTTCCTGGCACTGTTGATACGTCACGAGGTATACGTGTGAATGGAATTTTTACAGTTCATCATTTTTTGTGCTTTTTTGATTATTTACTTTCATCTGTCTATAAGTGATTTCGCTGTATTCTTCATTTGAATATCACTTCTCTTTTTCCACTTTCTTCCCCATCTACATCAGGAAGAAGGTAATCACTCAGGGATGTGTGTTTGTGGTCATCATTTGCTCATTCCTGATCTCATTTGAGAGAATCATACCATGTTTACTCCCTGCGGTTAAAAGCATGTAAAGGTTACATTAAGTGTGACCTCATATAACTATTTCATCAACGTTTGAGTAAGTTTAATCAACACATATTTATTGAGCATCTGTTATGTCTTTTAGAGTAAAAGATCTCAGGGAGTACAGTTCAGTCTGATATACTCACCCTCTGCCAGGAACTTTGTGAGAGGGAAGGGGGAATAAAAACTAAAAGTAGAACATACCAAGTCTCTAGGAGTCATTCAAATGAAAACCTGTGAAGGCTTAAAGATGTAGAGCGACATCCAGCTTGGAGAAGGTGAAAAGGAGTTGAGAGAGAGAGAGAGAGAGAGAGAGTGTGTGTGTGTGTGTGTGTGTTGTACAGCAATACCTACCAGACAGTAGGACTTGTGTGGATGGTGTTTGTCTGCTAGATAAGCATGAATTCCTGTAAAAAGAAGCAATCTGAACAGAGGCATAGAAGTGGGACACTGAGGCACTCAGGTATATCTACTAGCTTTCATTGACACTGTGACAAAATACCTGATAAAACAACTTAAAGGAGGAAAGATTTATTTTGCTCATGGTTTCAGAGGAGTCAGTTCATGGTCAGTTGGCTCCATGCTTCTGGTCCTGTGTCAAGACAGAACATCATTGCTGCAGGAGCATCTGGAGGAGGAAGTTACTCACCTCTTGGTGGACAGGAAGCAGAGGACAACAGTTCACATCATGGCCAACAGGAAGCAGAAAGAGAGCAATAACAGGAAGGGGCCAGGGCAAGATATAGCCCTCAGGAACATGTCCCCAGTGACTACTTCCTCCATCCAGGCACTGTCTTCCACAGCTCTACCACTTCTAAATAGTCTCTTCAAATGTTGAATCCATCAATGAATTAATCCTTTCATTTGGGCAGAGCTTTCATGATCTAATTGTCACTGGAAATACTCTCACAAACATACCCTGAGGTATGCTTTACTAATTTCCTAGGTGTTTCTCAATCCAATCAAGTTGACAGTCATAATTACCCATCCCACTCAGGGGGAATCATGAATTGCCCAATTTCACTGGCACATAGTCCATTCATAAAGTTCTGAGAGAGATGGCAAGAAAACTAGATTGGACCTCAAAGTGAAAAATACAGGCATCTGGACACTTTCATCAGCAATGGATAGCCACTGAAGATTACTACTAAAAGCATATGTAACCTAGGACAACAGTCAGGTGGTAGTGTGCAAGCTGCTTTGGAAAGGAAAAGCTGTCCTCAGAGATGATGTTTAGCAATGGGTGAGATTGGGGTGGAGGTATAGCAGGAACAGGTGGTGGGAGAGAGCAAGATGAGCCAAAGGTGCCTCGCACCATGAGCGTGGCCATTGGGGTAACGGTGGTGTGTCCGTGTCAGGTCTCTGTTAAGAGGAGAAACTGGTTGGTGACGAAGGCTTGTTCATTTTGCTATGAGACCTGGAATCCTGGGTTTAAGGGAACAGGGAAGTGGTAACAACATGAATTACAGAGCCAGAAGGATCAAACCCGGGCTCCATCACTTATAGGCGGATGGCCTTGCTTACCATAGATGTGTCTTGGAGCCTGCTTGAGCCTCTGTGCTATCTGACATGGAAAAGTTGCTACATCTTCCACAGGAAGGAGTGTGTGAGCTCAGCAGCCCAGATTAACACTGCCTGGTACAATAGAGGGACTTTACGTTATTTGCTGTTCATCTTTGGTTTGTTTTTCATTTTCTTTTCTCTGTTTTGGTTTGGGATTTTTTGGAAGACAAGGTCTCGTTATGTAGCCCAGGCTGGCCTAGAATTCACAATACTCCCGCCTCCACCTCCCAGGGCTGCGTTGCTGGGACCACCACACCCAGTGAGGGTAGGGACTTAAATGGCAGTTGTCACTGTGACTGTCTGCATAGGACAAGCATTGAAGCCATCAGATTGGAACAGTGGGAGGAAGGAGACAAAAGAGAGATAAGAAAGCCCAAGACAGAATCAGGATTCTCCCACTTAGGAATCTGAAGAATGCAGATGAAATGAGTAGACAAGAAGACAGGAAAGAAGGCAGAGGAGAACCAGGAAGGAGAGCTGTCCAAAGCCAAGGGTGAGTGTTTCGGTGTCAGAGTTCAATAGTATCCGTTGCTGCAAGAAGCCATAAAGAAGAGACAGGTCAAAGCCTTTGGGTTTTGTAACACAGAAATCACCCCATGACTTTTTCCCATAAAAGAAGACTTCTGAAAAGGTTGGCCTGCCTTCAGCCTTGACATTAAAAGCAACATTTACCGAGCTCTTGTGCTTGAATTGCTAACTATCCGAGTACTTCTCCCTGTTTCTACCCTTCCCCTCAGCATCAGAGTGCTTTCCAGAACAGGCTCCATCCCTGAATTTTAATGGCCAGAGAAGGGAGAGGGACATTGTCTGATATAACAAAAAGAGGTTCACATGGAAGGTTATTCATTTTCTGAAATAGCCTTTTTGGAAAGCTTCTAAAAACCTGTACCTGGTAAACCCAATTCAGAAAATCTGTTACTGCAAGCTCTGTGGAGACATGGCCCTCCTAGAGGGGGAAGATTTTAGAGCTCCTGGAAAACATTGTTTGCACTGTAATTCAGGACTGTGTTATTGGATACACAGTTACTCCACAGGTAAATGCTCTTAACAGTTTGGTGGGAGCCCTTCCAGACATTTTCCTGACACTTATTTTTGCTCCTTAAAAAGTTTCACTCATCGAATTAATTCGGGAGCTTGTTTATAAGTAGTGCTTTGGAAGATGTTCAGAATTCTTTGCAGTTATATCTTTTACCTGCACGGATTTATGCAAAGGAGATTACTCTAGGAGGATAATAGTTTGAGGAACAAAAATGAAATCCCAGCTACTCAGGAGGCAGAGGTTAGAGGATTGCAGTTCTGAAGTCAACCCTTGGTAAAAGCACAAGATCCTATCTAAAAAACAGTCCAAGGCAAAAAGAACTGGGGCATGGCTCAAGTGGTAGAGCACCTGCCTAGCAAGAGTGAGGCCCTGAGTTCAAACCCCAGTACCACCACAAAAGAGAGAGAGAATATTAATCTGAATTCTGCTACACTGTTTAAATAAATAAGAAAATGTCTTAGAACTGATGAAATGGGAAAAACAGGAATATATCAAGTTTGGAGATACTTTTCTTTATATATGTTTTTACTCCCAGTGTTTCAAGCTTATACTTTATTACCATGTCAGAAAGGAATATTTGTACCAGTTCCCATTAAATTATACATTATAGATAAAGTAACACATTGATTCTAGTGTTTGAATCTTAGGAAATGTGTCCATGCCCCTGTACCCATCCAGTGATGGAATCAAGAGTCTGAAATTTTAATCAGAATTTAAAACTGCCTTACCCTGTCCTTCATACTCTGAACCAGGCTGTTTAATAGCCTGTGTTTGAATATTTGAGTTATCACAATGTAGACCCTTCTGCAATGTTGTCAGGAAAGCTGAGAGGACCAGTATTACAGATGTATATTTTGTTCTGGCAAATATGAGGATTGATATTTAAGTTGGTATTTATTGGTAACAGAAAGTAAGAAGAAAAACAGAGGGAGTGTACAGACAATGAGGGGATGAGAGGCAGTGCTGTAGAGTGGAGGAGCCCACACACCCCTCATGAAGACCCTGAGCAGTCTAAGCTGTTTGCTTCCTGTTACTCACAGGATGATGACTGCTAGAGAATAAGCAAAATAGAGACCAATAGGAAAGATGCCTAAGGCGTTTAGCTATTTCACTAACGTTTGGGAGGCATTTTCAGATTTTCACTGTTCGCTTACTGACACACACAAGGGATCTTTTGGGATATTTTGTACTCAGTTTAACAAACAGCAAGGCCC